AAATATAAATATATATATATATATTTATATTTTAAGTGTCATGAACTTCCTGATGAGGTTGTATTAGGAAGAGTGTTGCAGGCTAGGTCAGGAGTAATGAAGGTGGGTATGTACAAGTTATCATTGTTCAGTACCTGCTGTAGTTTGAATTTTGAATGTCTTCCAAAGGCCCAAGAGGGCCTGGTTCCTAGCCTGTGGTGTTACTGGGAGATAGAGCCTAATGCAAGGAAGTTAGATCATAGAGGGATGCCCTTGAAAGGGCATGACAGACTTAAAGGCAATAGGGCCAAGAGCCATCAACAAAAATCTCCTAAACCATGGTTAAAGTAAATTTTTCCTTTTTATAAGTTGATTATCTTAGGTATTTTGTTACAGTAACAGAAAGCTAAGAATACTTATTGAGCACCTACTATGTATACCAGGCCCTGAATACCTAAAGATGTGAAGGACCTAATTATTGCTTTCAAAGAGCCCAGAGCCCTTCTGTCTAGAGATCATGGTAAAGTTGATGTGCATTTTTTTTAATAACCAACCATACTTTGATTGAGGCACCTATGTGGAAGGCACTATACAAAATAGTGCATGACAAATCTCAGATAAATAAAATAAGATCCTGTCTCCATTCATTGTACAGGGCAGCACAAGCATCCAACTATTGTTAAGGTAGAGTATGAGAAATGCCAGAAGAGAGGCCTGATAAAGCACCTTGGAAATTCAGAGGAGAGAGAGTATGTGCAGTGTGTGTGGTGGAAGGGTGGTATCAGGGAAAGCTTTGTCCTTTTTTTGTATGTTCTGTGCAATCCACTCAGCATTGCTATACCCCAGGCACTGTGCCAGGTACTAGGGCATAATGAACCCAGCCATTAAGGGTCCTCCAGTCAAGTGGAATAGAACAACAATAAACAGTACAATATTTCTTTAATTTTAAGTACCTTTGATTATGAGTTGTATCCTCATATTGTAGATGTCAAAATTTGGAAAAGATGTATTTTAGGATTAATGAAATAAAGTAGTAATAATCCAGAGTGGTAATAGAAAATCACTGTCCTAAGAGCTTGCATGCACCAAGATTTGCATATTTAATAAAAAGGCAATGATATGCAGTAAAAGTAGCTTGCACTAAGTAGGCTTTTAGAAAAAACATGATGAATAAATAAGAAAATGGATGAATCCTAACCCTCTGTCTTCTACCATTAGACCATCTGGAGAAGACAGTTCCTTATCTAAAAACTTAGATCCTTACAAATGGTAACTTCAAAACTTTAGTTGTCAAAGAAGCCATCAGAGACTATATCTCTGTAAAGGACTCATTATGTATTTCTAACAAGTCCAAAAGAAGTAGGATTTTAAAAGAGATATATGTGGGGTGGGAGTGAGGGGAGGGGAGAGAGAGAATACGAAGTGTTTTTTTAATATTTTTTAGTTGTCAATGGATTTTTATTTTTATTTATTTATATGTGGTACTCAGAATTGAACCCAGAGCTTCACACATGAAGCCAGGCAAGCACTCTTCCACTGAGCTACAACCCCAGCCCCATATACAAAGGTTTTTGTGTTGAAAGTTTGGTCCCAGATGATGACACTGGGGGATGGTAGAACTTTTAGGAAGTACAGCCTAGTGGGAGGAAGTTATTGGAGATGTGCCCTTCAATGGGATACTGAGACCCTATCCCACTCCTGTCTCACTCTGCTTTCTGGCCACCATGAAGTGAGCAGCTTTGTTCCAAACACAAATGATGTCTGCCTTGCTTCAGGCCTCAAACATTGGAGCCAACCAACCATGGACCGAAACTTAAACTGTGAGCCAAAATAAATCTTTTCACCTCATAAGTTGTTTATTTCAGGTATTTTGACACAAAACTACTGTCAACAACTGCTGAACATTCAGAACTTGTGAATAAATGAAGAGTAAATGAATGAATGAATGACCATACCCTTACTATACTGATTATAATTGTTTATTAGATTTTTATTGTTATATCATTGCTCTTTTTTAAAAATTTCCTTTTTTATTAAGAATGAGTTCACATGTTTTTCTGTGGAAACTTTGACATTTGATTAAGAACCAAGTTCAAATACACATACTAGTTGTATTATTTTGAGTCTTACATAGTACTTCACTAAGCCTTAATTACCTTTTTTAAAAATGAACATGAAAATAGTATCTTCCTTAAAGAACTACTGTGAAGATGATGATATAACAACACAGTACTAATCACAGTGCCTATAAATAGTAGCACAAATAAATGTTGTTTTACATTATTTAGATGTTCAAATACTTTGTGCCATTTTTCTATGTTGTTGTTTATTTTTAAATATTATAGACTGTAACACGTCACACACTACAGATATTTCCCCTCATTTCTCTTATTTTGTATATAGTGGCTTTCTTAAATTACCATAATTTTATTTCATTCTAGTTTTATCTTTTAGCTTTTTCTTTGTTGTGAATTTCATTGCTTTTATGCTTAAAAATTATTTCCCCATTCTGGGATGTCAAACATTATTTTTAGGTTGCTTTTATTTTTCTTGGCTGTCTCTTCCTCCTCTTCCTCCTCCTCCTCCTCCTCCTCCTCCCCCCACCTCCTTCTCCTCCTCCTCCGATATTGAACCCAGGGACACTCTACCACTAAGCTGCATTCCCACCCTTTTATTTTTTATTTTGAGACAGGGTCTTTTTAAGTTGCTGAGACTGGCCTCTAACTTGAGATCCTTCTGCCTCAGCCTCCTGAGTCACTGGATTTACAGATATTGCTACTGCACCTGGCTTTTAGGCTATTTTTAATAACTATACAAAATGGTTTAATCTATCTAATCAAGGTAATTAGCATTATTTACTTTTGTTTGTGGTGCCACAGTTACAAATAAACTGGCAGCAGTTACAAATAAACTGAAATATCAGTGGCTTAGTGCCACAAAAGTTTTTGTTTTTTCCTCATTCAGGAGTCTGTACATTGGGGAGGTGGCCACTATCTAGATAGTAAGGGATCCATACTTCCTCTATCTGGTACCTGAGCCATCTCATCCTGTGGTTTCTAAGGTTGACAGAAAAAAAAGGAGGATGGAGAAAGCATAGCTTTTGAATTGTCTTGGCTTTCTAGAATTGACATATATCACTTTTACTCACAGTGCATTGGCTAGACCTAGTCATATGGGACCATCATAGCCCTCAGGGAGACTGGGAAATTTAGGGGAGCATGTGGAACATTTTGATAGCACCAATTGTCTATACTATACTAAGTGTATACTAAGTGAAGAAATAACCTGTATTTTTTCTGTCTCAGCATCCCTTGTCTTCTAATGTAATTTAAAAGTTATAGTAAAGTTTAAAGAATAAAATGACAATCACATTCCCCCACGCCCTAACTAAATAAGTGTTAAGATTTTGTCATATTTGTCTCCATTTGTTTATTTGTATAATGGCTATCATGAAGCTATAATCCATGTAATATAAAGTTTCCCCTTTTAAAGGCAATGAGTCGGTGGATTTTGGTATAGACACAGGTTGTGCAGATATAGAATGTTAGATCATTTTATGATCTCCAAGAGAAACACCATACTTGTTAACAGTCATTCACTGCTCCCCACTGATACCCAAGACCTGAAAACAACAAATCTACTTTCTGTCTCTGTACATTTGCCTTTTCTGAATATTTCACATAAATGGAATCATACTATATAAGGCCATTTGTGACTGGCTTTATTCAAATAGCATTATGTCTATAATTTTCATCGATGTTGTTGTGTATATCAGGACTTTTTCTCTTTTATTGATGAGTAATATTCCATTGTATGGATATATACCATATTTTGTGTCTTCATTCATCTGTTGATGGACATTTGGATGTTTCTACTTTTTGGCTCTCATGGATAAAGCTGCTATGACCATTTGTATACAGATATTTGTATAAACATGTTTTCAATTTTTGTGGTTATACACTAAGCTGTAGAATTTCTGGGTCATATGGTAACTCTAGTGAAATTTTTTGAGAAACTGCCAAACTTTTTCACATAGTATAGTCTGCTGGTGTTGGATGGGAGGGTCTATAGTTATCTGTTAGATCTAGTTGGTTTGTAATGTTATTCAGCTCTTCTATTTCTTTATGATCCTTTGAGCACTTATTCCATACCCTATTGGACATGGAGTACTGAACAATTGAATTTTCTGTTTCTTCTTTCAGTTCTATCAGTTTTTGCCCCATGTATTTTTTTTGTTGTTATGTGTACGTATAATTGCTGTCTTCCTCATAAGTTGCCCCTTTTTCATATAATCTCCTTTTCCTCAAATAGTAATTTTCGTTTTTATTTTGTCTGATATTAGCATAGCTACTTTTACTTTTATAGTTACTGTTTGCATAGTGTATTCTAACTTTTTGACTTTAAAATCTGTGTGTCTTTGAATCTAAGGTGTTTCCTTATTAAATAAATTTTATTTGTCACATTAAATCTTTGCCTCTCTAGAATTTATTTTAGTATGACTTTGAGGTAGGGATATCATTTTTTTTAAGCAGGCTAACCCATACTGTCATACAAACAAAATAACTTACCATTTCTCCATTGACTTGAAGTGCCAGTTTTTCTTTATGTACTTGGATCATTTCTAATGCTTTATTCTATTATGACTTATTCAAATGGCATAATTATCATACCTTCGTATTTTACTGGCTTATTTATCTGTTTTTCCCACATTATCTCCTTTGCCAGGACTGTCCTTACTAGTAATCTATTTTTCCTTACAAATTTTGGAAGCAACAGCATAGTCTTAAAAGTATTCTGGTATTTTTATTAATAATGTTGTCTTAGTCCATTTCATATTGTTATAATAAAAAAATATTAAGTTTGGGTAATTTTTGCAAAGAGTAGAGGATTATTTAGGTCACACTTAAATAATCTGTGGCACCAGCTTCTGCTCAGCTCTAGTGAGGGCTTCTTTTTTTTTTTTTTTAAGCGAAGATAACCTCAACATTTTATTGTCTTCATAACAAAACAAACAATGAAGCTTAGTACTGGATCACTTGGCCCTTTCTCTTCTTATCTCCTCCCAGTTCAAAATGCTTGCATCTCTTAATAGCCAGCATTCTTTTAGATCTGCAGTTAGGCTCAACACACTCAAGCCTCAGCACAATCTTTATAGTTTTAGCCTTTTTCCTGAAAATTAGCTTGGTCTGCCCACCATAGCCACTCTGTTTCCTGTCATACCGCCGCTTTCCCTGTGCATACAGAGAATCCTTGCCCTTCTTGTACTGTGTCACTTTATGGGGTTGGTGTTTGCCACATTTCTTACAGAACGTCCGGCAGGTCTTAGGAACGTTCACCAAGTTTGCAACAGCGACAGTGTTATCGGCAAGAAAAAAAGGAGTGAGGGCTTCTTGACAGATTCCATCACAATGATAGGAGGGCATGCAAGAGCAATCATATGGCAAGATATGAAGCCAGAAAGATTCAGGGGCCAGACTTGCTGTTTTTGTAACAATCCACTCATAGGAACCGACTAGGGTCAAGAGAGCTACATTAATCTCTTCCAAGAGTGATACCCTCACCATCTAATTCCCTTCCACGAGGCCCCACCTCTTAAAAATTCCACCATCAATTAATACTGCCACATTGGGAACCAAGTTTCCAACACATTTACCCTGCAGAACAAACCACATGCAAACTATAGCAAATGTACATATAATTTAGAAAAAAATAACCTCTCTATATTTTGGCATTTTCCTTTTCAAACTCAAAAGATATGTTTCCATTTATTCAACTCTTACAGATGATGGTTTAAATTACTTCATTTTATGTGATATTGTTGTGTAATAAGAAATACATATTTGGGTTTCATTCCCAGTTCCTGGCACAGGGCTTCTAAGACCTTTGTAATCTCCTAAGTGATAGAGGTGCTAGAAGCACTTTTTGTTCTACTATTTGGTCTTTGAGTTTGGTTCTGGTTCCTGATATGGGTCTTCTAAACCCCTTGGAATTTCCTGGGTGATAGGAGTGTATTTTTTCCAATGAGGTGGCTCTTAAAGGGCTGCTTGGATAGCTTTAGGATGGGTGCTGGTTGCCAGAAAGACCCAGTCATGAGTAGAATCTGGAAACTTTTAAGTGTCACCCCCATCTTCCAGGAAGAGCAGAGGGGCTAGCAATTATGTTAATAATCACACCTCTGTGGTAAAGCTTCCATATAAATCCCTAAAAGATGGAGTTTAGAGATATTTTGGATTGTGAACACATCCACATCCTGGAAGGGTGGTGACAAACAAGGAAACTTCAAGGGTACAGAAGCTCTTGCATTAAGAACCCTACCAGATCTTGCCCTATACCCCTTCTCTGACTAATCCTTTAATAATATCTTTTTTTTTAAGAGAGAGAATTTTTTAATATTTATTTTTTAGTTTTCAGCGGACATAACATCTTTGTTTGTATGTGGTGCTGAGGATCGAACCTGGGCCGCACGCATGCCAGGCAAGCACGCTACCGCTTCAGCCTCATCCCCAGCCCTAATAATAATATCCTTTTAAAACAAATGTTTCTCTGAGTTTTGTGAGCCTTTATAGTGGGTAGAGGGAGGTTTGTGCAAACCCTGATTTCTGTCCACATTGGTCAGAAGTGGATAACCTGAGGATCTACTACCTCTGATGGCATCAGAAGTGGAGAGCAGTCTTTGGGACTGAGATATTCAACTTGTGGGATCTAAAGTTAACTAATTCTAAGCACTAGTGTCAGAACTGGACACCCAATTAGCATCCAGAGAGTTGGAGAATTTGTTAATGTGGGAAAACCTTCCACACATTTGATATCAAGAGTGTTCTGTGAGAATAGAGGAAAGCAGTTTGGTTTTTTTTTTGTTTCATTTCATATTTCTCTTTTATTATCCAGTCCCTTTCTTTGGCATTAATTAGGACAATTTGTCATCTTAATGTTAGGAGAGAACAATGAGCCCTTATCTATTAGTTCACTGTTTTATTCATTCATTTACCCATTTAAAAAGTGTTTGAGACCAGGGTTGAATGTAGCTTGGTGGTAAAGTGCTTGCTTTGCATGCATGAAGCCCTGGGTTTAATCCCCGATTCCAGACCCGCCCCCTCCAAAAAAAAAAAAATATGTTTGAAGCCAATTATGTACAGGTACAGTGTTAGGTGCTGAAGATACAATGTTGAACAAATCAATCACCTAGTGTATAATCAAGAGTTCACATTTCATTCTGAGCTGTTAATGATTTACATGACAAAATTAATGATGACTTTCATGTTTTTGTATGTTAGTCAGGTTTTCTCTATGGTAGTTTGAAATGTGGGTTATAAGCTGTTACTCCCAACTTGGTTATTATTTCTGTGTCCTCTGTATGTTTAACATGATCTTTCCTTAAACTCTTGGTTTGAGTTCTCCCCAAACCACACCCTGAGTTAAGGATTTGAGTGCAAGTTAGTTTATTTGGATAGGGAATTTATTTGGAATGCAAAGCAGTGGGAAAGTGGGAGGGAAGAAAGCCATTAACTATGTGTTAGTGAGCAGCTTTCTGCAGTGGACAACTGGGGCTCAATCTGCTGGGAACCTCCTGAGAAGCTTTACTGAATACATTCTGTCAATTAGCCCACTGAGGAGCAAGGAAATTGGGGAATTCCTGTTTCTCCCTGGTTGAGGGTTGCTCCCGGGAGTGTATACTCCATGGCACTTATGGTCTGCTTTTCTTGTGGCCAACAGTGATCCTGCAGCCAGAGGGCCTCCTCACCTGAAGGAAGGTAGGTACTGGAGGTAAGAAGCCAAAGATTGCAAAGGGACTCCCTCATGGAAGAAGTCAGTTATTTCAGAACTGTGCTGAGGGCACAAGGGTAGAACATTGATGATAACTGCCACAGACACCATCCATCTGGAAAGAGAGCTGTATCAGAAAAGCACATTTACATAGAGTCGCAAGAAGGAAGAAAATGGGAGGAAAGTCTGTGTAGCTTACAGGACAATTTCAATAAATAGTATTAGTCAATAGTATTGATTGATCACAATATTTCACATTTCACTCTGCTCATTAATGAACTACATGACAAAATTAATGATATCTTTTATGTTTTGTATGTTAAGTTTTCTCTATCATGCTTTGAAATATTATTTTAAAAGATTTTCCAAAAGAAGGCTATAAATTCTAATTTTTGTCACTATAATACTTTTAATGGAAAAGTTAAAAGATATGACAATGACAGCTATTTTTGACAATAATAAGCTGATAGTTTGGGGGGAGGATAAAATGAAAGAAAGAGTACTAGTTTGGGGGTTGGTTCCAAGTTTGAATCCTAAATCTGCTAACTAGCAATGTGACCTTAGGTAAATTGCTGATCTGCAGTCTGAACCAAGATGTCCTTATCTGGAAAATATAATACTCTTCAGTAGATTTCCCCAGAAGCAGAGCTTGAGAAGAAAAGCTGTTGGGGCTTAGGAATTGAGAAATTTTAAAACTTCAGGTATAGTATATCTCTGGAAATGCATAATCAGCACATGACTATTGCTCTTAGAGGAATCACTATTTTTAGTTTTATGATTTTTTTCTTGTTAATAACAAACTATTGTTAGAACAGCACACTTATTTTTGCTGTGGATTGGTACCTTTTCTTATAAAAAGGCTGTGTCTTAGAGGAGGTGAATAGTTTTTCTATTTTAATCATATAAAAACATAACACTATAGCATTCTGACTTTTCCCTTCTGAAGTGAAGGGAAGACAGAAGTGCGAAAAACTCTAACCCCTCATTGAGTAAAATTCATTGTGACATCCAAGGCTCTCCCTTTGTCCCTTCCTGTCTTCTTCTTTCCTTCCTTCCATCTGCCTCTTCTTCCTTACCTCACTTTTTTGATAACCATTACCTCTAAATTAAAAAAAAAATTGAATTCCCTTTCTGGTGCCTCAGATTTGTCTGTGTGACTATAATATTTAGTTGGCAAAGACTGTTTTTATGAACCCATTACAAACTTACACACAGGATTTTAGCTGGTACACAAACATCAATTATTTAGGTTTAAGCAGATTTTTGTTTCCAATCTACCACAAGTAGATAGTCCCTTCTTAGTTCTGAAGGTGCATGTATGCATGTTGTTTGTTTTATGGTGATGGGATTGTAAACTCATCCAATATTCTTATTTACCTGAGAAGAAAACTGGCAAGCTGGATATCTAAAATGATGGAGGCCACAGCATTGTTCCTGGTATATCTAGGGTTGGAGCAATTCACTGCTTCTCAGCCCAGAAATCTGGGCAATAAACTAGAATTCTTTCAGCGTTGATTTGGACTGAAGCTCAAATAATATTCAAATAATAACGAGTCCTGGAATCACCTTTCAAATGAGCTATCAGTATTCAAATTCTTTCCTCAGCCTCTGCTTCTGGGAAGTCCCAGAAGGTTCCCAGGAGGAAATCTCCAAGAACATCACAGAAGTGCTCCACAGGAGTGAACTTCTATGCTCAGCAGGCCCCCTTCACAGGATGACTTCTGTGCCAGTTTAGTAAAATCCTTCTTGTGGCTTAAACCTCCCACCACCCCTTCCCTTTAACCATGAAGGAGCCAGAGACATGTAGGGTTCCCAGGGAGGAAGTAGAGCAGAACTGACCATTTCCCACACTCCTAACCACTCAGGGTTCCAGGCTGAAGCCAGCAAACTGCAGCCTTCTTACAGCATTTAGTTCTTTTGATACATGGCTTACGTTTGCCAACCCATTTACTAAATTGGTATTTGCATTTTTTCCAAAGGCAAAAAACTGTTCATCAACTGGTATCACAATACTATAATTCTACTTTTAAATATCCTCTGCTAATGGTTAGACTATCTGAAGAAATATATCAGATCATTACACTACATGTCTATAAAACAGGAGGAAGAATCCCACCTCATTGTGTCTAGGAGGATAAAGCGAGGTAACCCTAGGGGGAAAAAAAACGCCTGGCACATGTGATGCCATAATAATAGGGTATTCTTTCTTCTACACCACATATTGCAAACTTCCTGAGACAAGGATTGCCCAGAGCTCATTTTTGTTTTCCAAATTTTTGGCATAGCTCTTAGAGTGAGTACTCTGTGGATTGTCAGTGAACTGTGAATAGGGTCCCAAAAACGGCCCTAGAACACTGTAGCAGATGTTGATGGTGCCCTGCCCCAGTCCCTCAGCCCTTCCCATTGTTACTGGGAGGCAAAGCACTAACTGTGAGCACCTGCATCAGTTTGAGCAAGGGCTTCCTCTGATGGTTCCACCTGTCTATATGGCAGGTTGGAAGACATAATTAATCCCCACCCCCAAAAAGTACTTGTCAACCAAACACTTCTAGGAGTTGTAAATAAATGCCTGTTTTATCCCTTGGGTGAGATAATTATGAGTCTCATTTTCTACCCAGACTACTCAAGAGATCTCCAGTAAGGTAGAGCTCCAATGACC